CACCGGACTCAAGTTTTTGTTAATATCAGTATTCGAGAGTGAGTGAGTGTGAGAGTGAGAGTGAGAGTAAGAGTGAGGGTGAGATTGAGACCAACTTCCCAGCTGGGGATACCAGATAATAATACAGGTACATTAATCAGAACTGACCTCTTGCGCGACACGTTCACATACACAAATGGTTATCTGTGATTCTAGCAGTAATCTTAGATAAAGAGTACGCCCAGTTGATAAGACATTAACTCCGAGCAGCATGTGTATATACCTTCAACTCTCCCGCAATTGACCTGTGTCTGTTCAAGTTGACTCCCATACGAAAATATAAAATTCGTAACAAAAAGTAAAAACATAAGGAAATACCTTTTTTATTATTTCCCGGTTGCTCTCAGATGACAGACCAAGATCAAATGACGATATCTCAACAAATGAAAGGTGTCTATTGCGGTCGAATAAAAAAAGATAAATAAGTTTACAAAAAAATAATCACCAAGTTTCTAGACACCGGTCAGAAAAATGACCCCCATGATTGCCCATCAACTTCACACCTAACATATAAAGTTATTCATCACGTTTTTTTTTTTTCTGATATTTTGTTCATTATGCTGTCTTGCCCTGTCTGCTGATCTGAAACACACGCTCGTGTCAGTGCAACTCTATTCCAGCGTACCTTGATAGGTTTATGTTGTTCCTTTATATTTATTAGATTTATTTTCCCTATAAAGACTGGATATTGAACGGTTACACGTCGTACATATAATCAAAGGTGTCATCTCATAGCGCCTGTGCTGAACAAGTAAAAAGTTTACACCCACACACACTTAGGCGTAAATTCGACCCCGCTTTTTGTTCACACGCTGCAACAAGCCACATCGGCGACGCCAGAGGTAAACACGTGGTACACAAAGCTGTTCAAACCCTCTGTACTAACACTAGCTCCACTACTAGAAGGTGGATCTACTTCTATTAGATATTTAGTATCTTGGACGTTGATACAAATGAAATTGTTCCTTATAAAGTAAGAAGTTTCATTAATAAAACAATTGTTTCTGAACCCTGTCGCATTTCCAACCCTTTCATGAAATTCGTTCGAGTGTGAGATATGAGTTTTCCTTCATTATGAAGAGATGAACTTTTCTATAGACTAAGCGTTTTTATTTAAATAGTTTAGTAATTGGTATGTAAGGAATAGACCTTACTTTAAGAAGGTTGAGGCCTATTCCCTTTTCGCTGCTTCGACAGAGCAGGTCTTCGTTTACCGAAATATTACATTGTCTTGATTGATGTTGAATGTCAAAGTATACTGTTGCAAGTAGAAGTAGGGATGCAGAGAGAAGCATACTGATGGCACCGAGGGAGACGGGAGTATCCAGACGGCAACGTTGTTGCACAGAACTGGGATTTCATTTACCTCAATTTCACGTAATAAAAACTTTTAGTGTATCATTATTATTATTATTATCATCATTATTATTATTATTATTATTATTATTATTATTATTATTAGTTTAATTATTATTATTGTTTATTATTATTAATATTATTAAAGTATAGAATAGTAACATATTAACATTTGCAAATGCAGAAAAAGTCACGTTTTTACCATCAAGATGCTTTTATTGTAATTGTGAATATCAACACACTTTTTTCATTACTTTACTCTCGCAAATGTCAGCAAAGCTCCGGGTGAACCAGAACTCGTTGGAGCAAAAGTGTTCACCAATAAACATAAAAATCGTTCTGCTGAATTGAAGGCATCGCGCTTATCAAAACGCGCATGCCGCCGTAGCCTGAATTACTCTTCATAAGAAATGGGACACAGCTCTTGCACAGCCGCCTGCAAGCGTCACCGCTGTGTTATCAGCAGCGATATACAGCGATGGAGTGACGGGTGACGCCGGCGGTGTAACACGTCACTCCACGTGTATTATTATTATCTTAGAAAAGGTCACGCTCTTGTGTATTTGTACCCTGACATTTGTCTCTTCTCTCGTTAGGTTCACCTTCACCTTTTGCCGCCTTGTAGGTTGTTTGTTTGTTTTTACCTTTTTCTTTTTTTCTTTTTTTTTTTTATCTAGTCTTTTTATGCAACCGCACGCGTCGTCTATGTGCGAGTATGCGCGGGGAGGGACGTGTTGCTAGTGTCTTCTCGCACTTCACGGGGCGTCAGGGCTTGGCACGCGAGGCTGTCAGCGTTAACGAATAGCCTGTAATGCCCGTGGACGCCAAGTAATTCTGGCTTAGCAACCGTCCTTGTTTTTTTATGTTTTTGGAAAAAAAAATTATCTGTATTTGTTATCTTTCTTTCTTGCAACTCATCAGTCTTTTTTTTTTCGGTTTTCCCGTTTTATTTATTTTGTGTGACACGGATGCATTAGGCTCTCCCGTCAAAGAGATCGGTTTCAGTACCTTCTGCAGACTATTGATCGTTGGGAATCTTTAAAAGGCGTAGGGACGCGCTCACCGGTAAACAACCAAATGTCACGGCAGACTGTACTATGCCACACGATGCCACGATACACTACAAAATACTATTCAATGCCATGCTACACTACGCGACACTGCACCTCACCATGCCATACTGTGCTACGCTACACACCATACCATGTCACACTACATCACACCACACCACACCACACATACCAGACTACGAGTATGCTGGACTATACCACTCCCATACACACCATTCCAGGCTATGCCACAACATACCATGTTATGCTACGTTACAAACCATACTGTGCCCTACTTCACATCATACCATATGACATTACACCACATCATATCATACTAACCCACACTTCACACTATATCATATTATACCACACTACACTCTACACCATGCCAGGTTGTACCACACTAGACCACGGCATACCAGACTATGCCACACCACATCATACCACACTATACAACACTGCCATACCAGACTATGCCACACTACACCACTCCATACTAGACTATACCTCACTACACTACACCATATCACACTGTGTTACACTACATACGAAATTATGCCACACCATACCAAACTATGCCACACTTCATCATACTATACCAAACTATGCCACACTTCACCATACCATACCAAACTATGCCACACTTCACCATACCATACCAAACTATGCCACACTACACCATACCATACCAAACTATGCCACACTTCACCATACCATACCAAACTATGCCACACTTCACCATACCATACCAAACTGCCACTACACCATACCATACCAAACTATGCCACACTTCACCATACCATACTGCCACTACACCATACCATACCAAACTATGCCACACTACACCACAACATACCAGACTATGCCATACTACACTACACCATACCAGACTATGCCACACTACACCATACCATACCAGACTATGCCACACTTCACCATACCATACCAAACTATGTCACACTTCACCATACCATACCAGACTATGCCACACTACACCATACCATACCAAACTATGCCACACTTCATACCATACCATACCAAACTATGCCACACTACACCATACCATACCAAACTGGCACTACACCATACCATAGCAAACTATGCCACACTTCACCATACCATACCATACTATGCCACACTTCACCATACCATACCAAACTGCCACTACACCATACCATACCAAACTATGCCACACTTCACCATACCATACCATACTATGCCACACTTCACCATACCATACCAAACTATGCCACACTTCACCATACCATACCATACTATGCCACACTTCACACCATACCAAACTATGCCACACTTCATACCATACCATACTGCCACTACACCATACCATACCATACTATGCCACACTTCACCATACCATACCAAACTGCCACTACACCATACCATACCAAACTATGCCACACTTCACCATACCATACCATACTGCCATTACACCATACCATACCAAACTATGCCACACTTCACCATACCATACCATACTATGCCACACTTCACCATACCATACCAAACTATGCCACACTACACCACACACACATCGGGGCAGTTTGAATACGAGAGTACAAAGCAGAAATAGCGAAACGTGTCACAACTAGGAGATTTTGATGGCCAGGCTTGGGTGTAGGTGTGTGCGCGTGTAGATGTAACGTCTTTTGTGTTGTGTGCTATGTAAACAGTACCATTTCGGTGGGTAGGACCGTGTTTTATATGTTGGGGAGTATGTTAGCGATAGTGCCAGCTGATGTATGAAGGGGACGCTGTGTACTAACAGTGCCAAGCACCGGATGTGGGAGTGGTGTCTTTGTGACAGTGCCAAGTGTTCTCTGTGATGTCCAGGCGACAGTGTCAAGTACTATGTGTTGATGTCTAAGCAGCAGTGGTGCCACCACGTGGTGCTGCCCTGGCCCGTGCAGTGGCAGGTTTAAGGCGAGAGGGTAACGTGGGGTCTCGTGTTGCAGGTGGGGTGTCTGCGGGCGCCGTGAGTCACGCCCTCCCCCAGGGTGGGCAACCCGAGGACACCCCAGCCTTGCCTGGGGGTGGCAGGCCACACTGCGGGGCGGCAGCGGCGGGTGGTGGCCCGAGGAGCGTGCTGGGAGGCCACAGGACCACCAGCGTGCTTGGCCCTGCCACTGCCACCTCCCCGCCGACCTACCTCATGGGCGGGGCGGCGCGCGGGGGGCCCCCACTTGGGCTTAGGACCCTCTCAGGGCACTGTAGCCTGCCCCTATTGCCACAAACTCCTCCGCTCACACTCAGGACTGAAGACGCACATCCGCGACCAGCACACCGCCAACACTCAGGTCACCTGCAGTATCTGCCACAAGTGTTACCGCAACCAGAACTCCCTAAGCAACCACATGAGTCTGTACCACAAGGGCAGCAACGGCGGGGCGGCGCTCCCCCGCCCGGGCATCGAACCGCGCTCCACATGATCGGTGCCCCGCACACGGACATACTGTCTGCCTTCCATACCCTCTTGTATAGTCTTGACTCACGACGGTAGCACACTAGCAGAGGCTGGAGACGTAGTGAGGGAGCTTGCCGTACTCACGGGATGTGTTGTTTGTTGCAGAAATGTACCGGCTGTTTGGGGACGGGCTGGGGGCGCCGCCCATAGCGGGAGGGCGTGCCAGGTTCGAGTGTCCTGTGTGCGCCAAGGTGCTGAGTACCAGTCATGGACTCAGAAGGCACATAAATGACCGTCACACAGTGCACCTCACCTCTTACCGCTGCTACGTCTGCAACAAAGAATACCGCACGCCCAATAGTCTACAAAATCATATGTATGTGTACCACAAAAGAGAAGGGAAGAGCTGAGGGTGAGTTGTCTCGTAGCAAAGGTAGTGTCGCCTTGCTCCCCGCAGCCTAGTAGCCTGAGCCTTGTAGTGGCATGCCAGTAGACCAGCCTCAACCCTCGCCACATGACCAATTCCTTCTCTGTTGCAGAGAACGACGGTCGCTTAGAGTGTCCACATTGCCACAAAATGTTGAAGGGTACAAGTCTGCGCAAACACCTCGAGGACATGCACACTGTCCACCTCACACCTTACGAGTGCAAGATCTGTCACAGGTTCTACCGCACTCCCAACAGCCTGCAGAACCACAGTAGCCGCTACCATCGTCGCCAGCGGACCGACTCCTCCGGACCCTCGGAGTATGAAGCTTCCAGCGCCCCGCCCTTCTCCACCGCCTCCATGACTCCCGTCGCGGTGCCGCAGCAGTTGTCGTCGTTGCTGGCGGCCGCCGCAGCCGCCCGCGCCACCACGCACTTGAGCCCCCGCACCCCAGGACTGAGCAACGGGGCGCCACCGCCGCCTCCAGAGCACCATCTGCCGGGGGACAAAGCCACATCGTTCAGTGACATCTTCAACTGAGACGGAGCGCGTGACACGGCTCAAGAAAACCTTCTCGTTACCTTAAGACATGAATGTATGATGCTTGAGTGCAGTGACATGTTTCTTTGACAACAACATGTGTGGAGCACTAACATGCCCCCTCCCTCCCGAGGGGCGGGAGAGGGGAAGCCCCGCGAGACTGGATTGTAACAACGCTTTTCTCTCCTGTTGCAGGGAGGCCCAGCATTCTGTACACGCCAGTAGAGTGTCCGATATGTAAACGCCGGTTCTTCAATAAGTACTCGGCCAAAAGACACATGATTCAGGCGCACGGGGAGAACCGCTTTCACACCCGCCCGTACGCCCGCGCGGACCCCAACTCTACCTCTACCTTCAGTGCTGCCCTTCCATGGGCGTGGCAGCTGTGTCAGTCGACGCCATGAAGCCCGCAGCCCTCGGGAAGGTGCACGGCTATAGCGGCGGGAGTGGCGGCGGCGCGGGCGGTGGCCAGGATGGCTGGCTGTACCCGTCGTCTCCGCCCGTAAAGCTGCAGCAGCACCAGGGAAGCTGCGACGGGGCGTACCCTCAGCTACTGGCAGGAGGTCGTGGCGGCGGCCCCTCTCCGCCCCGCCAGAACACACATGATCCCTCAGGAACGTTATCAATATCCGGGCTTCCCACAACCCCGCGCCTCGGCACCGCTCACGACCCCCCGCCTGCAGCCGCCGCCTCGCTATCGGGGATGCAGGCGCATCATCTAAAGTCCCCAACGGCCTCGCAGGGCGTGACGGCGCTCACCACGTCTCCCACAATCATGCCCCACCCCAACCCTCCGCGCCCAAACCTCTCGGACGCCCCCGGCTCGGCGCACCCCAGCCAAGGGCATCATGGCACCGGAGAGGCGAGCCCCATGACTGTCGCGGCCCTGGGGACCTTCTCCAGCTCCCAAAATGTGTAACGCCGCGGAGGAGGTCCTGAGGGCTCCTCCTTCCCCTCCCTCCCTCCCCCCTCCCCTCCCCCTCGGCTCCTTCCTCGGCGCCCTGAGTGTCAGATGCCGGTGTACGTCCGGCTGAGGAACGACGGCCGTAGCGTGTCTGCCGATGCTTCGTGACAGTTCAGACAAATGTGATAAGCACGGAAGTTTATACCATGTACATGTATACGATGTAGTTCTTAGATAATACAAGTAAATAAACTCTTTAAGAAAAAAAAACTGGTGCCATATATTGTGCTACTTCATTAAGTGAATCATTTCTAAACACATGTGAAGATGCAAATTTTCTACTCCCCTTTCCTGATTTCCCTATTACTAGTGTAAAGAGGTAAAGTTACAAATACAACAACTATATGAACGATGGATTCCTATTTTTTTGTGAGTATAACAAGCCCGCCAGAGGAGCTTGTCCTGTGTCACAAAAGAGTAGATTAGTTTTGTAGGTCAACAACAACTTTTAGTCAGATAATTAGCCTTGCTGGAGTAGAACTGATCTCGTTTATGCCCCTCCCCCTCATCCTCATTAGTAGAAGCACTTATGTTTGTATTGTATATGTATTTAGTTTGTGATAATAAAAGTACTGACAAATATGACAAGGGTGTTTATTTGTCCTGTTCTTCTTACGAGAATGGAAGTATAATGGGCCCAGAGGTACAAATAGAATTGTACCAAAAACAAACAAACAAACAAACAAACCACTTTTTTCCAATGATTAACCGAATCCGAAGAGACCAAAAAACAATTCCACTAATCCAAGCTCATGTTTTATGAATTATCAGAAATGTAAGCAAACAAGACACAGAAAGGCCGAGTCGGATGATTAATGAAAAGTGAAAATGTGACCTGAACCCGTAACCAGCAGAATGTTAAATGCTGGCAGGGTGAGTGTCAGCTGTGGAGCTCCGTGGGTTCCACAGCTGCGCCACCGACCATCTTCCCACTTCTTTTCTATTTCTTCTTCATTTTCGCCATCCTTTTGTCATTTTTCTCTTAATCCACCTCCCTCTTCTCCTCTCATCATTTCCCACAAACTCTCCCTTGCTGAACGTCAGACATGTACATATACTGGCCTTGCATAAGAAGGAAAGGGTTCACACTATTTTGTATCAACACGCTACTTACAATATGATATTCATTTATGTTACATTTATACTGATGTCTTCTACAATGTTAAACAATGAAGGTAAAGAGTAATTACATTAGAATGAATGCCATCTTTAAAAGTAGAGACAGATACAAATAAGGAAACACTATGAGGAAGAGGAAAGAACGTGAAAAAAACAAAAAAATAGCTAAAAAGAACTAAGGAAACTTTATAAAAAATGTAAATACAAGGAAAGGAAATGAGACGGTGAAAATAGGAGAGATAAAATCATTAAAACACGGACATACCTATTACTACTCCCTTACACGTTGTTAGGAGGGCTGCTCTGTAGACTGAGGCCCAAGGTAGGGATCGCCGCTACCTTGGACCTCAGCGTTTGCCTCAGCTAATTATATGGTCTTTCCCTTCTCTTCTTCATCCCCTTCTGTCAACATCCTGAAGTGTGAGCACCATGCTGAAAGGATGGAAGACTGGCTTTTGTGTCAGTCCTGAACGGCCCTCGTATTCCTTCTGCTCTTCCCTCTTTACCCTTTTCGCTACCATCCTAACCTACAGCTCTTTGACATCTACGACCTTTTGACATCTAACATATTGTGTCCTGATCGTTAACTCAATTTTAACCTTTTCGTCACAATACTTGTTCATAGTGCTGTATTGATCTTTGATGTAACATATTTATATGACCATTATGCATTCTGGGAATCCACAAACATCGCATGTAGTAAAATAGCAGAAACGAGAGGAATGTTGAGAGAGAAAGAATGAATCGTTCAGATGTCTCAGAAGCTTAGTATTTCCGGTATATATTAGCGTTTCTTCATTGATCTTGAGAGAAACACTGCGGGCCATTGTACTTGATAGTTGACCGTCCTATTATTCCTAGGTTTATCTTTATTTCTCCTTCATTTTGGGTGGGTAGGGAGTGCTTGACAAAATCCGTTGATAGCGGGTTGATATTGATATGGTAAATGTCAATGTTTATTTTTTTTTTTTTTCTTTATCAATTTTTGCATGTACGTATGAGGTCGGGAGAGGAAATCGGGAGGGTTTTCTGTTGGCTGAAACAAGGTAAAGGAACGAGCGGGAAAAAGAGAAAGGGAGAGGAAGGGAAGAAGTCGGAGAGAGCGAGGGAGAGAGTAAAAGGATGAGAGAAACGGACAGACGGGGGAGGGGGGCGAGAGACAGACAGAAGAGGGAGGGAGGGATGAAGGAAGGAAGGAAGGGAGAGGGGCAGAAAAGAGAAAGGGAGAAAAATGAGAGAGAGAGAGAGAGAGAGAGAGAGAGAGAGAGGAGAGAGAGAGAGAGAGAGAGGGGGGGGGGGCTTAGCGATTGCACTTCAACCTTCTATTGATCAACGTGGTACGTATAAGGCGTCCAGCCAGAAAAAAGGTTATAGCTTTAAATGTTGCCTTCGCTCTGCCTGCGCGATCGGGGGTTCTGCGACCTGAAGTTAGGGAGAGGGGGGGTGAGGGTGGGCTGCCACAGCTGGTTGACAGGTCGGGGAGACGTATCTTCAGGCAGCGGAGATTCCAACTGGTGTTGGGCAGGTGGTTCTCTTGGCCCAGGGCGCTGTTGGCGGCCTGGCTGGTGTCCGGACGAAGGGTCTCCTAGCCGGTCGCACCAGACTTCATGCTTGGTAGCTGCGGCTGATGTCACAAGCGAGGTGGTGCTACCTTGCAGGTGATAGGTGACAGCGGTGTACTGACGGTGGCTCCTCCTTGCAGGCGGGTGCGGGAGGCCGTGGTCGTGTGGCCCCGGAGAGGAAGTCCGGGCCGCTACTCCCGCGGGGGACCACGGCGGGGGGCGATACCCTGGGGCCCCACACCCCAGGCTCCACCCCACCCACCCACCACCGCCTGTCACCCTTCGCCGATCTCCGCTGCGGTGCCGCCGCCAGAGCACCTCCCCGGGGGGAAGGGGCCCGGGGTCGTCCTCAGCCTAGTAGCGGGTTGGCTAGTGCGGTTGCGGCTGGTGACGAGGCCTGCGTGTGCCCGTACTGCGGCAAGAGTCTGCGGGACAAGTACAAGGTGCGGCGCCACATCGAGGACGTGCACACGCCCTCGTCGCACTCCCACCAGTGCTCGCTGTGCCACCGCCACTACAAGACCCGCAACACGCTGCAGAACCACATGAGCATATACACCGCCCGCTCCGGAGGTCGCACCAGCCCCACCACCTACAGCCGGCCGCCGCCCCTGTGTCCTCAGGACCCACGAATGCCGCCCAGCCGTCTCTGCCGCCGCCGCCCCCGCACACTCAGGACATAGCAGGAGATCGCCAGGGGGAGGTGGAGGCACAGCGGAGCCTGCGGGACCTCCAAGGGCATTGCCTCGCCTTTCCTCTCTCTCTGAGGACGCCGAGATCGCAGAAGCTTCTTGTATATTCTTATCTCACCCGTACCTGGCCTTTACCTGGCTCTCTTACCTGGCCTTTCCCTGGCATCCTCATTCTCTGGTGACAACCTGACTGTTCCCTAATCCTTGTATAAGCCTAAGTTCCACCCGAATATTATCTTAATTTGATTTAATGTTTTATTTGTTTTTCGTTCACAGTTTAAAACCGTCCAGCCTTTTTTAATTTCGCCCTCTCCTGACCCTCGTCCTTCCCCTCGCTAGATTAATCCTTCCCCTCGCCCTTACTCGAAGCTAGAAGACCCAAGAATTACGTCAGGTTGGAAATTTGAAGTTATTTATTGGAAAATAAGACGTAAGGACAAATGCTTAGCGTTCGGGGGACCTCAAGGAAGCTGCATTGATGGTGGGGAGGAAGGGATTTAAATGCGACAGGTAGAACACTTCCCTCACTCGTTGCGTAAGGTTCTTTCACGCCGGGATAGGTTCTGCGTTGTATCGGGAGCTTACTTCAGAAGCTGTATTATTCATCGAGCGCCAAGCATGATTACTACAATCCTCCGCATTTGCAAGTTGATTGATGTCAACAGTCTGCACAGTGTGTTATTCGAGCAGCATTAGAAGGTATTTAAGGTACATCGCAGGTCATAACAGGGTGGAAAAGGGAGGAATGAGATGGAGGGAGAAGTACCATCTACCTGCTTACGAGGATTTGTAAGATCGCGGGATTTAGAGGAGCATTTCTAACATGTCCTCTCTCTTTTCCTTCTTTTATAGCTTCTTTTGTCAGCTTTTCATTCCCCGTTTTGTCCATCTTGTCTCTTCCTCCTGCTTCTCCCCATTCTTCCCTCTCCTGTTCTTGTCCCTCGGCCCTTTTCTTCCTTTCTCCCTTGTCATCCGCGCTAGGATCAACTCCCCTCGCTGTGCTATAGATTACTTTCCATCTCCTTTGTCTTTCCTTGCCGGTGTTCCTTCCAGTTCTACGCCCCTTTCTTTGACTTCTCCATTTCCATCTCTTAACGCTCACATGTTTGTATAGGTACTTCTGCTGTTGAAGGATAAAAAGTGAATATCGAATTCAAGAAGGACACGGATGTGCCCGAAAGATGTGTAAAGGTTGCAGGGAGTTCGGAGATTCGGGTCCGGGATTTAGAGCAGCATGTCTTATCCTAGCAAGGGGCACGAGCGTGTTCAGTCGTAAACGCATTGAAGGTTCTTGGAACGTGTTGTCAGCAGTTTCGGTGAAGGGATCACAAGGAGGGCGTGGGAGCGTTACAGACCCCAGTGAGAGGTTTAGGGGAACTCGTCAGGGCCTGGTGAGGGTACTGTCCACTCTAGGACGCTTGTCTCTTCTGTTGCAGAGTGGGTGCGGTGCGGGCAGTGCGACAAGGTGTTAGGAGGGCGTCGCAGCCTCAAGCAGCACTTGGCCTGCGTGCACGGCCCCGCGTCTCCAGGCTACCAGTGCAAATACTGCCAGAAAGTGTATAAAAACAAACACACACTATTCAGTCACGTTAGTCAGTACCACCGATACACCAACTCTGCTCCGCCTCCACCCACAACCCCCCACATCATCCCATGCGCCCATCCTCGCCCATAAACCACCCACTCCCACAATAGTCAATACGGGGTCACCCTTCCGTCTACCTTCTGCACTCGGCCCGCCGAAGCTCTAGGCAGGGCCTCTTCCCAAAGGCATACACCCCCTCCCACACCCCTCACCTTACCCCTTCCCCTCCTACAAGTCTTGAGGGCGCGTGGCCCTCTGAACCTGTTCTTGTTTTCTCTAGTCGTCTATATATACACACATAGTTATGTTGGGTTTATAGAATGTTGCTCAAGGACTTGCCAATCGTTTATATATACGTCTGTCATTGTATATGCATATTCATGCGTTTTATTTTGTACTGCTTCCTCTTGTCTATACTAAAACAAGGAGGTGAATAGCTAAAGTTGTGTCTAGTGTCAGAATGGGCCCGTTTTTTGTATCATATGTGCCAAAAGTTATTATGTCTTTATCATGATAATAAAACTTGATTATCCATCATTTTGTTTTACTTTCTCCTTCTTTGTATAAACTGGATGTCTTGCTTTTAAATAGATATATTTTTATGTGCATGAAAAGATGTTCCATGAAAGAATTATGTACGTTTTGTAGTCTGGTACCACGGGGAAGTGTAGATGTATGAAATGAATGCTTGCAACGTTGCGGGGTGTATCTGTGGGTGTAGTGTTCGGGTTTGTAGAGAAGTGTTCTTTTGTTTTTGCACTGTAATGGTACTACGGTGGCTGGGGTTAGAAAACGAGAGGGCAGAAGAACGAGTGAGAGAGAGAGACAGAGAGAGAGCGAGAGAGAGAGAGAGAGAGCGAGCGAGAGAGAGAGAGAGAACAAATTGAGTGGGAGATGGGGAGAGAAAGGAGAGGAGAGAGCCTCCCACGAGAGGTTGGGGCCCCGCACTGACCGCGGTGTTGTATCGTTACAGGGAAGGCGATGTCCATGCGGAGCCCGCTCGTGTACATACCGGTGCTGTGCCCCTTCTGTGGCAAGAAAATCAGTAACAAGTACAATCTCAAGACCCACGTGCGTAACATGCACCCGGACACCTTGGAGGCGCTCACACAGATGGAGGATATTTAGATGATGATGATGGTGATGGTGGTGATGATGTGATGTTGATGGCGCCCCGAGGGAAGCATTGTATGCGTGAGAGTAGGGGGAGACATGCTAAGGGAAGGAGATAGAGAGGGAGGGAGAGAAGGAGGATGGCGACCCGCTCTTGAAACGTTTTAGGACTGGACGTCTGAGGAGCTTGGAGCATGCAGGCGGGAGTGCTTCTGGATCTTCCTCTTTATCACCTGACATGACCCGTAGCTGTAGTACTTAATGACTTGTTTTAGACGTCAAAATGTGATTGACGAGAACCCAAGTTGGTTTTTATCACTTTATTTGTGTATCTATTTTGAGAAGATTTGAAGAGTAGTCTAAGTAGTTAGCCCTGGCGTGTGTCCTGCCCGTGTGTAATGTCCTTGCCGTAGTGGGTGTCCAGGGAGCCAGGGATCATGATGGTGGCCGCTTACGGCGTGTTGTCTTTGTTGCAGGGGCGCGGGCGTGGGTGGTGGGCGGGGGAGGGTCGGTGTCGTGCCCGGTGTGCGGGAAGCGGCTCAGCAACAAGTACAACCTGCGGATCCACGTGCGGGACAAGCACGAGACACACGAGGGATCCCGCCCCACCTGCGCCACCTGCCGCAGGACCTTCAAGAACGCCAACAGCCTGCGGGTGCACGCCATCAAGCAGCACGGCCTGGTCAGCACGCGGCGGCGCCTCAGGGCCCTATACCACAACTCTCTGGGCGGCGTGGCGCCCACCTCCGCGCCCGCAAGCGCGCCCGGTCCTACGCTCTCCCCCTCCATCGGCCACACGCCTACCGCCACCCCTGCTCCCGCCCTCAGGCAGCAGCACTACATCGAGTCGTATCAGCGACCTGTGACGAGCAGCGCCCCGGCTGGCCACGTGCTCTCGGCATAAGTGATGGTGGCGGCAGGGGCATGAGCGTGGCCATGGACGATGGCTTGGACGTTGGCGCGGGTGGGGTTATGGGCGGCGAGGGCGGGCTCGTGTGCGACGACGACGTGCTGAACACCTACGCGACACCCCCTGCTCACGTGGGCGCGACGCAGGGCCACCACGTGCTCCTGGAGGAGCCGAGCCCCCGTCTCACCTCGCCGGCGTTCCGAGAGGCGCGGCGCAGCCGCTGCTGCAGCCACACAACACTCACGCCGGCGACCAGGGCCCCTGAGGCACCGCGGCGGCAGGGCGGGTCCGGGGAGGGGGAGGGTAGGAGGTAGGCGCGGGTAGTGCACTGGTGACACCTGCGACGTGACAGTATTTTGTAACGTGTTGTCTAGATTGTTTTTTTTTTCTCTCACTCTTCCGTCACTTGACCTGGCGGAAGGCGCAAAGGTCACGGTTTTTGTACTGTAAACGCTCACTTTGTATTTTAATATAACATGTAATGAGTCCTTTCTGTTCGGCTTCATAGATTTGTGAATTTAGATTACACAGGCTTCTACGTTGTGTGGCGTATACCTAAGGTCTAAGCGTAAATTTTCGTGATATGTACCAGATTTTTGTATTAAAAATCGTGTATGAATTTTAAAGTTTATTATTATCATTCCCCCGTGTACAAACAAGATGAGTTATCAAATGGAAAATTAATGAAGATAAGTAATCAGACACATATGTTCATGATAAGAGAGAATTGAACACATTCGGAAAATATCTGATTATTAGTCATTCTGCTTATTAATTTAGAATTATATGATAAGCACAGAACCCCGACTACAACGATAAACTACAGAAACATGTGTACACGCTTATTCACACATGTATATACAGTTACATGTGTACATACACTCATAAATACATTTATGTACATACATAAATACGTGCATACTGTCTTTCTTTATATGGACACATGCGATTACCACTAAGAGACTAGTAGGTACAATATTTCCTCAATGTAACTGCAAAATTAGTTTTAAACAACCATCTTTATGTATGTATCTGTTGATTATCGACACACGCACGTGTTATATGCACGCACATACACACTCACTCTCAATCACTCACACACACTCTTTCTCTCTCTCTCTCTCTCTCTCTCTCTCTCTCTCTCTTCTCTCTCTCTCTCTCTCTTTCTCTCTCTCCTCTCTCTCTCTCTCTCTCCTCTCTCCTCTCCCTCCCTCCCTCCATCCCTCCCTCTCTCTCTCTCTCTCTCTCCTCTCTCTCTCCTCTCTCTCTCTCTTCTCTCTCTCTCTCTCTTCTCTCTATCTCTCTCTCTCTCTCCCTCTCCCTCTCCTCTCCTTCCTCTCCCTCTCCCTCTCCCTCTCCCTCTCCCTCTCCTCTCTCCCTCTC